GGAAGGAAGGAAGGAAGGAAGGAAGGAAGGAAGGAAGGAAGGAAGGAAGAAAGGAGAAAAGGTATCTCTAGAGATAATGGGAATGGGAGAAAATGCATATTTTATTTTATGAGACACCAATAAACTAAAAGGAACCTTCATTTCTCCAGCAGGCATCTCAGAATTCGGATTGAACAAGCCCTCTCCCATCCTTTATCAGTTCCTATTTTCAATCACTGTATTCTGAGCTTCGGTCACATTGGGAAGGCATGAGCCCTTCAATGTGGAGCCTGTGGTAACTTAGTGCCACTCAGGGAAAAGCTCAGCTCTTCTAGACACAAACCCTGCTCCTGTGCTATCAGCTCAGAGCCAACTTGCCCCCAACTGAGGCACAAATTTTGACACCTTAAAAGAAAAAGACAAGGTGAACATAATTAAGTCCAATTTTCTTTCTTTTCAAGTGTGTTACAGTTTTTGTCTTTGTTGCATTGAATTGGTTTCTTTGTGCTATTTGCAGCTCACAGCCTGTTGAATACACTCCCTCCTCTGTTGACAAAGTGTTGTTTCTCTGTCATTGCTTTTTTCTCTCCAAAAAAAAGGGATTTACTTTTGCCAGCTAGGATTTACGTTCTATCTGTTAGCTGAGTAATACTTCTTTTTAATACATTCATTTTTCTGTTTTGTAGGAGGGTAAGTTGCTGCTACCATGCAATGTGTAAAGGTCAAAGGAGGTTGGTTTGTAAGATTCTATTCTCTTCTTGTACCATGTGAGTGCTGAGAATTGAACTCAGGTGGTAAGGCTTGGCAGCAAGCACCTTTACCCGCTGAGCCAGCTTGCCAACCTGCTGGATGACATTGTTTTAAGAGCACTGAACATTATTCTTGTTATTATGAAGAATAAGATTCAGAGGCTAGATTTTCTTTAAGTTGTTCAGATCTGGCCTTATTCTTGTCAATCACATCTAAGCTCACCTAGATTAGAAACGTCCACTGAGTATGTCTGACAGTAGCTGCAGTGGTTTCTCATTCCTTCCTGTAGTGGGAGTTACTCTTAGTATATATGCCTACCAGTATTGCTGTTCTCATTCAGTGGAACCATTCCACTGGGCTGAAGGATTACCTTATTGCTATTTTACTATGCATTTCCTTGTGATGACCAGATTGGTCTAGCATCCTCCTCTTGGGTTTACTCTACCCCTCCTATTCTAATCACCATATGTTCAAATTGGTGAAGAAGCCAGTGTTCTTTTCTCTGCCCACGGAGCAGACGCATTTCCAAAATGCAAAACCCAGATGTGAGCTTCTCATCTTGGTTCCTCATAGTCCTGCTTCATTTGTCCTTAGAAACATTTATTTCGTGTATTTACATAGTTGATATGCTTTTTAAGAGGATATAAAGATCATATCCTATCAGATAATATCTTATCTTGTTACCTTATCATGACAATAGGTATAAAACTAAGTTAGGTTTTGAGGAAGAATGTTCTAGGTTTTTATAGTTCATTGAGGACCAAACCCAGAAATCTCAGGCCACTCTTCATGAAAGAAATCTCTACAGCGCTTTACATCCGGGTTCACTCTGTGGCAGAGAGAGGAAAGCAAGGGCATGATGCTTTGCAGAGTCTAGAAAATTCTGCAAAGTTGGGAAAATTGTCTCATCTTCATTTATATTTTATTAGTTTTAATTGTAGTCCATGCAAACTGTGTTGTGGCCATTGAGATAAAATTTGACCTACTGACTATTGTTTGAGAA